TGTCCGCGAAATTGGACACGGCTCGACGGTAAGGTTGTCCGGTTGCAACTTTATTTTCCTTACCCTGTAAGAGAAGGAACGCGCGCGCGGGGATTTCTTACTGGCGCAACTCGGGCGAGACTGCCGCGCTTCCGCAGCACACTCTCTGAATTTCGGAGAGAACAAACCCGTTACCGCGGAGGTAACTCTAAATTATTCCGTTAAGGATGCACTTTCAATCGGCGGGAGAATAAAGCACGCGTTTTATTACTGCAGCACGCGAGGAATTATACATATGGATTTTTTTTATGCCGCTGTGTGTGTTACCAGCGAGAGAACGCGCGCTTTGCCGCATTCTGACCGATGCATTTTTTAACGATCTTTTTTTTGAAAATCAATTTGCTGACGAAATAAAAGTGTGTGGAACAGCAAATTTATTTTGCCAAGCTTTATGGGAACATTTCAACGAAAGATAACGCTTTTATTTGCACCGAGAAAGTAATTGTTAACTGCCCCGAGTGATTTGCCGATCAATTACAGTCGCGTGTAATTCGATTCGTTGAATGTTTCACAGTGCAAGCTCGTTGAAGACGAACGATGTGTGTCACAGAGTAATAAAGATGTTGTTACGGAAAGATATGTACACAAGAAACTCGCGTTCTCAAGTTCGATCTGACGTCACAACGGGAATAACGAAGGAGCGGCAAACATCTATTAAAATGGATTCGCGATCCAATTTGTCTCGTAATTTTGATGACTAGGGTTGCGTGGGACGGAAAATCCAACGCGGATCAAACTGTCTCGGCTAACGAAGATTTAGTCGCTGCTTGTTAATGCGGCTAATACCCGCGTTTGTTTCAACTCATCGATTGGATCGTTTCGCGCGACAATGATTACGAAATTGTTCGAAATTTTAACGAGGGAGTTATCTCTGGAATGGTGCCAACCGGCGAAATCGATCGGCCACGGCAAAAGCGCATAAGCTATACGCCTTTTTATTTATTTATGCTACGTGTACTCTGCACGTAAACCGATCGCTCCTGCGGCTCGACAGGTTGCCGCATTTTACGTGCGTCCACCTTGTTGGTAGCGCATCGACTTCAGACCGCCTTGAAGTTTTCTACGTCCTTTCCTTTCGTTTGTCGGCATACGTGGGAGAAAAAGATAGAGAGACGGCTCTAATGGCGATTTACTATTTTTACACCAGCGTCATCGCTTACCCACGGATATTCCGCCTAGTAGGATACTCTATTTCTCTCTTTCTCTCTCTTTCTCTCTCGACGCGAACATAATAAAAATTTCTCGTAAATCCGGAATCGATATATTCACTGGCTTATCAAGCTCAAAATCGCCAATCCCGTAACTTCGTTTCCCGCGCGAGAGTGTATTACGGGCCACAAAAAGCTTTAACGAGTTTCGATTTTTCCTCCGCCAAGAGATTCGATAGAAGGCGATGCAATTAGACGAGATTCCGTGACCTCTTCGATTTTTCGTCTTTGTAATTAGACGTGAAATCGTAGTTTTATTGATATAAAATTCTCCGATTCGTTTCGAAGAGACAAGAAATTTGATAAAAGACATAATTAGGTTTTCACGGAATTTCTTTTTTCGTAGTTGTTGAATGATTCATAATTTCGGAAGCGGGGGAGAAGGGTGCGCGATAAGAAGCCTCCTTCCTTTCTTTCAAACTTGGCTAATTTATCAACTAGTTCGCCGTGCTACTTTCCATATGGATCAGACGATCCGCTGTACAGCGGTAGAAATATTTGTACTTTACACGAGTGTGCGGTAAAGTGGTACAGTCAGTATTGACGATGTATAAAACCCATTAATCGTATGTTCTACTTTAGTTCTTTTTGGAACACGCTATGTTACTTCTCTTGTGTGTAACCGCACAGCGTAAAATTATTAGTGTATTCTCTCCAATAACGCCTTTATATACGCGACATAAAATGTAAATTAAAATATACGTGTGTGCGTTGTTACTGCAAATTGCTTATGTTTTATTAGTGACAATAATAATCACTTTCTGCAAATTACATTTCGTTAATCCGGGAATAAACATTATTTATGCACCAGCTGCTGAAAATTGCGCGTGAATTTGCAATATTCCGTTTGAACGCTTTATAATTATCAATAAGGCTTGCTTTTCAGTGTGAATTAAACAGATTGCACTATTGTCGGGACATTGCTTAGCAGTTTTCGTTTCTTGCTGACGAGAGAACAACTTGTCCTTGCGTAGTTGTGACAAATAATTTTTATAAATTCAGTTACATATCGCGCGTATCTACATATAAATAATAAAATTAAGAGAAAGTAATCTCTCGTACTAGTAAAATTCCCATAAAATATTCTCGTAGTAACGGAATTGCCGCGATATCGGCAATTATCGCGTGGAATATCAAACGAAGGTTATTATAGTTGTCAGTGTGTCCTGGGAGTTGTTCAACTCGCGAGCGTAACGCGCACACGTGCTCTCCTCGAGGAAACAACCCGGTAATTTCGTGTGCGCGCGGCCGTTTATCAAGTCAATTTGCCGTAACGGTCGTTAGGAGCACGACAGGTTTGATAAGGGCTCAAATCGATGATACGGGAGTTCGTTGGCTCGCAGGGGGCGACCCGGGCTTCTTATTACGGATCTTTAGCGCGCGATAACCCTGAACTTTAAAAGCTCGCCTATATGTGTGTGTGTGTGTGTGTGTGTGTGTGCGTGCGTGCGCGCGCGACCACTCTCGGCTAACTCGGAACATGTATGAAGCGGCTCTCCACGTGGCCTCTCCACGCGACCAGTGACAGCCAGTTAAAAATAATTCCAACGTGAAACCCGTGCACATCGGCCGTGATTCCGAGTGCATTGCACCCGGAGATTCACGAGATCATCCGCTGGTGACTTTGTCATTTCTTACGTGTTCGTTGGGTTCTTTTATCTTTGTTTGTTCGATTAATGATTCTTATAATATCTTTTACTCTCTTCGGCCTTACACATGGCTCGTTTGCTTCTTCTTTCACTACTTTATCTTCTCGCTTACGACCACTTCGCGGCCACGTCCACATCATTCCGTCGAGGACCGCACCTACTTTCTATTTTCGCATGGTGACTATGTATAAGGTTCACTCTCATGAGATTGACGCGTCAGGAATATCATATCGGTATGCTAGATCCTACTCGTCTCTTTCCTTTCTTCCTTTTCCTTCTCTCTCTCTCTCTCTCTCTCTCTCTCTCTCTCTCTCTCTCTCTCTCTCTTTCTCTCTCTCTCTTTCTTTCTTTTTTTCTTCCGTGCTTTTTGCTCATTTAACAAAAGCATCTGACGCCGACGCGCACTCTCCGTCCTTTTTCTTCTAAACGGGACTATAAAGGGAGATTCACGGGAAGGTTGCTACGTGGGTGGTACAAAGTAGTTGTAAAGTAAACTGATAGAAAGGAAAATTACACGGGTTGCGCGTTGAAACGCCAGAAAATTGTCTCTCTTTGAGCAATTTCTGGAAATGCCGCGAAGGATATACGTTGATCTTGTAAAATATGCAAAGTGGAACATCCTTTGAGAAATTAACGTCGCTTTTACTCGAGAATTAACGATCGTGGTGTGATATAACAGAAGAAAGTATTAAACTTTTTTTTTATGGGACACAATTATTTTTTTTTTTTAATATCGTATCAGAGATGTCGAGTTGTTCATCTCTCCGAGACGTGAGGAACAATAAAAATAAGAGAATTGATTGACTCAATGCTCGCGATCTTGTGCACGCGCGGACGTATAGATATCGATCGATCTTGTGCACGCATCGCGTGCTTACATGCATAGGATAATTGATCCGGCCTTTAGCTATTGTTTACAATGATTATACAGGTGTAGGCCGCGCGACCCACTATTTCCCGTCTTGGGCGTTGTTGCATACTTAAACATCTCGCGCGGAATATGAATTCCGATTGCTCCGATTCAGTCAAGTTGCACGAGCCGCATTTCATTCGTCCGTGATTTTAAACAACGAGAAGCGCTCCGCCGCGAGGTGAAAATCACTATTTGTTTAAGGGAGTGATATTTTTGTGTTTTTGTTTTTACAACACGCGAGAGAAGTCGCACAATGCTGCGTCGTAATTATGTCGCGCGCGCACTCGACACGCGCATTTCGATATATATATATACGTGCCATGTATTATTGCGTCGCATTATTTGTAAACGCAGAACGTATTTCAAATATATTTCCGATTGAAACACCGACGCGCGATAACAAATCGAACGGTGTATATTCCGGCGATATATATTTCTTCTTTTAATTAAACGCTTGTCTTTGGAAGGCGCCGATGATAATCAACAATCATCAATTAAACGTAGAAACTCAAACTGATCATTAAACGCGTTGTTCGCGGGAATTCGCGTAAACTTTGAAGTCGCACACGACTGTAATCGCCAGTTATAGTTTGATCGTTAATAATATTGTGTCGATGTAGCCGCGGTGTTTTGACACAATTGCGAACACGAAAATGATTTAACTCCCGCCATAAACGTTACACCGCATTTACTGACAGCTAGACTTCGCGTGGCTTCGCATGGCTTCGCGCGCGTGTCAGTATATCGGGAATAAGACGATGCACACTGCGCGCGATCTAATGGAAGTATATTCATGAGAATAACAACGTATAAAACACTCATTCAGAGTTATACGAGCTTTCGCGAATGCGTTACTTTCGTCGCAGCTCTCGCCGCGCTTTCATTGCTGTTTTCAATTACAACACCTTTGTACCATTAAAGTGAAATGATGTAAATATAAGGCTATATGTGTGTGTCACGTTCTTTAAAAGAATACAATTGTTTAAAAACGTTGAAAAAAAAAGATACTAGCGCTGTTTCAAGAGAGATGTGCAGGTGCAATAGAGACTAGAAACACAATGAGATTTCTTTGTAATTTTTATTTGTACATTTAATGAGGCTTGATGCGTGTGTGTGTGTGTGTGTGTACATAAAAGATATAATTTTCAAATACCAACAAATATTTTATACTTGCTTTATTATTTGTTTCAGGTGGTGTTAGTTTTCATTCTCAGTATAGCATCGCTTATAATATATTTCATCGATGCCTCCAGGTGAGTAACAAGACTCCGTTGATGAAGTCGTGGGAGGTAGGAGGAAGGGGGATGCATGTCTCAAATTTATCTCACGGAGATTTATAAATATTCAACATACGATATATCGGACATTTCGGATTAATAAGTTTTTGCGTCGCACTTTTTCTCTCGTAGTTTAATTACAGGATACGCACTAATTGTTTAGTTTGATCAGCGCTATTTTACACTTTTAGTGTTTTTTTTTTTAATGTATTGTTTTAAGATCAAGATCTTCGCATAAGTTCGTAATATAAAAGATGCCGATAACTCTAACATCGGCAATCTTATGCTTTTATGTTACAGCGAAGAGGTGGAGCGTTGCCAGCAGTGGAGCAACAACATTACTCAGCAGATAGACTTAGCTTTCAATATATTTTTTATGGTCTACTTTTTTATACGCGTAAGTAAAGTTGTTTTTGTGTATTAATCTTCGTCGCTGACGTTTAAGACACTGAATAATTGACCGCAAGCGAAATAACACCAAATATTGCATATTGTATCTCTTTTTTTTTTTACACAAGTGGTTTCAAGCAAAAAGTGATTAAAACTTACAAATGTGTTTGCTTGAGTTTGAAACACTTGAACAATTTCGAAATTTATTATCTCGGCGTTTTTCAAACTATATAGTATCTTGTTGCTTGATTGAAACTTCCACCAAATCAAATACACATCTGTAAACTCGCTTTTTTGTGCGTTTGATTCTCAGTTTATCGCCGCCAGTGACAAGCTGTGGTTCATGCTGGAGATGTATTCGTTCGTGGACTACTTTACGATACCACCGTCCTTCGTGTCGATATATCTCGATCGGACGTGGATCGGTCTGAGGTTTCTCCGAGCCCTACGACTGATGACGGTCCCTGACATCCTCCAGTACCTCAACATTCTAAAAACATCGAGCTCTATTCGTCTCGCCCAACTCGTATCCATCTTCATCTCCGTCTGGCTGACCGCTGCTGGCATCATTCATTTGGTTAGACGATCTTTCCTTTCGTGATTTTTATTCGGACGTTTATATTATCGCGCAAAAATTTAATTCAGACGAACGCACGTATTTTACAAAAAACTTGTCACGGGAAATGTGAAAATTAATATTGTTTAACGAGACTTTTTTAATTCCAAAAACTTGTAGTGAGTTTTGTCCAAATATTGTTTTACGAAGTAACGTATGACGTAACTTCTCTCAAATGTTACGCGAAAGAAAAGATGATTCTGACGTTATCACTAATGTTTTTTCTCATAACTCTTGCATTTCCCGAAACGTTCAACACGCAGAAATCTGCGCGACAGATACGTTTTCTCGGACGCGTTTCCACCATTGCGCGGTAGTAAAAGCTTACGATTATGACCCGCTCCGTTATAAACCGCAATTTTACTCTTGACACCACGAGGGAAACTCCACTGAACGTAATAACATCTCGTGCCCGCAGCTTGAAAACTCAGGGGACCCTTTCGAGTTCGTGAACCCGCAACAGCTTTCGTACTGGACCTGCGTGTACTTTCTGATCGTGACGATGTCCACGGTAGGATATGGCGACGTTTTCTGCCAGACGGTCCTCGGCCGCACATTCCTAGTATTTTTTCTACTCGTCGGTTTGGTAAGTTGTCTCTGCTGTCACGATCTTCATACGTAGTCGAGCCATTTTACAGTTTTTAATCGAGTCTTGAGCGGTCTTTTAGAATTTTAAACGTTCAAAAAATAAGTGTCCCCCAAAAAGACTCAATTTTGACATAATCAGAAACGGATTCCCAATTTTGTTGATAAAGTTTTCTTGTCCCAAGATATTCAGTCTCCGTAGAAAAACGCTTAATTTCGAATAAAAAAAACGAGATTTTTACAAATATTCATACTTGAAGTTTTTATTGATTTTATGTTGCGTTTGCAAAAAGGCAGAAATGTCGAAATAAATTTCTTTTCATCTTTCACGATAGGAACGCTGTTTTCGTTTTTCTACGGATTTTCTTTTTATGAAAAATAAACATATACGAGCTCTGCGAAACGCACTTTCCTCCATCAGATTGATTGCTTCAGTACAAAATACGTAACAAGAAGAAAAGCCGAAAGTCTACAGAACTTTCAGGACTCTTTTATTGTATCGGATCGCGGCATTAATTTCTTTTTCTTTTTTCTTAGCTCTTTATTAATCTCTTGTATTCGTTCGAAGGAAATCGAGAGTTTCTCGAGAATCTTTTCTGGATTCGTCGTCTCCCCGCGTCGAATCCATTTTGCGATTTTGCGCGCACGTCTCTCTCTTTTATCCCGAGAAATCTCGAATGTATCGTCGCGCGGATCCCGGCGTTTCGCATAGCTCGTTTTGCCTAAACTGAGCCCGTCGGCTCGCCGGTTTCGCTGAGACTCGTGCTTACATCAGAGCGAAACGATTGGCGAGACGAGCGACGGTCTGAGATTTACGTCTCCCCCGAGCCATGAAGACGGTGAATATTTCGAGTGCGGCGTTTCTCCGGCCGTTGATCTTCCCGCGTCCCGGAAGGCGCCGCGAAAATGATCCACGATGATGCATTACATCCAACACTTATTTATGAAATTTCTCCCCGCGGTACTTAAAACGATATGTATCTTACGACGCTTTGAGATCGGGCAATGGAGAACGTTACTCATATACATAAAATCTCTCGAGATAAAGTAGCAAAACTTCGCGTTCCACTTTTGGTTGTTCAATATCATTATACTTTATCTTTAAATTAAAAAAAAAAAAAAAAAACGTGAGATATTGGTTTTTCGAGCTTTTATCTTATTCGCGGAGTTTGTTCCATTTCCCGAATTTTCTACCCTCGTAATTCGCAAAACAAAGGAAACTGTGTTTGTGGCGCCGCCGAAACAACGCTTTCGTTCAACGTCACGCGAAAATAGCTTTGTGGGGCAGAAATCAACGGCTAAGGGACGGCGCTCGCTCGTTATACCGGATCGATCGATTCGTTTGAACGCCGATGCGCGCATTGCTGCCCGCGTTCCATTACGCGTGCACACGTTTGCGCCCGAACTTATCGATTGTTCGCGTGAACCTTCGCAAACGCGCGCGCGCGTGCGAACCTTCGCGCGCGTACGTGTACATAAGTCGAATTTTGCAACACATCGAGGCATCGGCTACCTCTTGTAGATGCGTTGCATTTTTCTTTTGTTCGTAAACGCGGGCATTGCCGTTCAAACGTCCGCCAGAATCGCGATTCCCCGACTAACGTTTGTCCGCAGCTTACCGTAGAATACCCATAGATACATTGATTATCGAGAGCTGGAGAGAAACATACTCCGCAAGTACGATACATTCGACATATACCTATGTGAATTCCTGGTATAGAAAAAAAAAAAATTGATTTGTTCGCGCATAAGGGCTTAAGTCGCGTATTTCTACAAGAAAAGAAATAAAAAATCTCTTTCAAATTTTGTTAAATAAATTTATATGTTTATATGAGAAATCTTTTCAATCGGATGAGAAATCGATCGCGAATTAGGCCTTTATCGCGGCATGACAACGAAAGCAAAGGAGACTAACTTGAGTCTCACCAAGGCAGCTTCACTCCTCTTTCTCGTACATTGTTCAAAACCCGTTCGAAACGTACTTCCCTCATTTTTCCCACTCGCATTCACATTGAAAATCTTGAGGAAATTCCTATTGTTTAATGAAGAAGTTTACAGATAATTCGATTCCAACTGCATTTTGCTCGAATCCACGACGACAAAAATGACGAGAAAACGAAACAACAAAAAAAAAAAAAACTGGCTACCTCTGCCTTACGCCTATATTTTTACGATGTATCATGTATCTGTCGAAACTGTCGTAATGTTTCCGATTGTCTTGTCGATCCGAAACATTGTGAGAGAGAGATATTTGCTCCCCGAAAACGTTCCGAAATATTCTGTGTTGTTGGAAAAGAGCATCGAAGAATCAAAAGAATCCAAAGAATACAAAAAGAACAGAGAAAAATTAACGTCAGATAAAATTTACGACCGAATTTTCGACAGTGACTTCGTGATCTTTTTTGTAACCTACACACGCCTCACTCTACAATTGAAGACGACAGATTTTTATTTTTCTACGTAGTTTGTCATATAGATAGAAATTTCTCGAACAATAGATATGTATATTTCGTTATACATAGAATTGAAAAAAAATTTGTTCTCATATTTTTCGATAGAATTTCAATTTGATTTCGACAGAATATGGGGAACAGTGATATATAAAAAAAATTTATAATAGATTATTTATTCTTACAGTTGTTGTAGATATTTGAATGTAGTTGGATTTTTTAACGCGAATTTCAACACTTTCAACAGAATTTTTTAGCAGGATTAGCAAATAATCAATTTTCAGAACGCGTAGTTTATTGTGAGACAGTATAGATCGCTTAAAACGTGTTTCCTCTTATAATATATTGTCGATCAAGAATTTGTAAACGCGAGCGGGTTGAGCCTCCCGCTTCCGGTGTTACGCGAGATGGTGAAAGAAGTAATTGCGGTCATATGTATTTGTACGACACATTGTGTGTGTAGCTGTTGGAAGCATATTTTATTACTCTTCCTCTTTCTCTCTTTCTCTCTCTCTCTCTCTCTCTCTCTCTCTTGCTCTCTCTCTTTCTCTCTCTCTTTCTCTCTCTCTCTCTCTCTCTCTCTGTCTTTCTTTTTTTCTATTTCTTTCTCTAATTCTCTTTCTTTTTTTTTTTACGGCTTAAATTGGATCTACGAGTTTTGCTACAGCCACTG